TTCACTCCAGCGCTTTTCCAGGTAAATCGACATTTGAAGTTGATACGAACTACGTAGGAAAAAAATCAAAAACACCACACCATCACTGGTAATCCTTTCTTTTTTTATCAAATCAAATCAAACCAATTTAAAAAAAATGTGGGATATAGCGCCCATACAATGAGTTTGTATCTGTTTCTCCGACAATAATTTTCTTTAAGTGATGGTTGAGCAAAAAAACAACAACAACAAAATCAAAAAAAAATACAAAATTTGCAATGCATAACAAAACAAGAAAATCCAGCTAAAATATTTGCTTACACAAAAAAAACATACTCCTCCTGCCTACAATTGGCTATCACAAAGACCAAAAAAAAAAACAAAAGCTTAGTAAACCGAAAAAACCACAACAACAATTTCCACTTTCTATATTCTGAATTTCTTTCCAAACTCTATCCATTCATTACAATTGAGCGACAAAACACCATTATTCACTCACACTCTCTATCTGTCTATCTCTTTCAAAACTTTCAAACTCTTCGTTTTATTTTTTCATTCGGTAGTAGTTTGTTCTCCTTATTCTTCTTCTACTTCAAACTAAGTAGATTTTTTTTTCGTTATAACTCTTTTCGCTATTCATGTGTAAAACTCTGTCCTTATTCTCAATGTGTAAATTGCCTTTTTTGTTTCTTAAAAATCATATTGTATCATAGTTACATACATATTTATTTGTTTGCTCACCTTCATCTTCATTCACATACATTGTTTTTAATTACTGCATTTCATGCTTCTTCTTTTTTATGATTATTTTAAGTTTGGCTTTTTGTCTATCTATTTCGAACTATCACCAAGTCTTTCACTTTCTCTTCACTGCATCACTCTTGTCTTGTACATGCGTATGCAACTTCATTCACACATACATACATCCATACATGTCATGCTTACTATATACATTCTATATTCTACATTAAATTAGCCGAATGTCTATTTTTTTTATTTCCAATTTTTCTTATTGGAATTTTTTTGTATTGTAGTGTCATAGTTTTCTTTTTTTATTTTTAAATATTATTTTATTTAAAAGAAAATTCGTAAGTGTTTTTTAAACGTTTATGCTGTAACAAAAGGGAACATAAGAGAGAAAAAAATATTGAACAAGAACAACATAATTATTTTGTAAATAAATCTCACTGTGGCTTAACGATACTTAATAGCATACATTTAGGGGCATGGGTGCGTATACGTATTGGATGCTTAATAAAGCAATTCATCATACGCCCGCCTGTTCGACTTTGAATTAAAATAGTGTAGTAAGGTTTTAGAATAGAAATATGCAAATTTGAAAATATTGTATATAAATTTTACGATATTTTGCAATTTCACATTTATAAAAATTAAATTTGAAACAAAAAATATAAATATAATATAACATTTATAGCAAATCCAAATACAAAAGCGGTAACGAAAGAAATAACTTTTGAGCTCACCAATTTTCTCAGGAAGAAGTTGTTTTAAATTTTTCTTTCTATCAATTAGAAGTCAAATTTGCGTCTGAAGAAAAATAAAAAAGAAAAGCTTGTCGAAATTTAGAATCGTGGATCCATTAATATAGTATAGTATACTCAAAAATATGCTCAAATTATTAAAATCATATTCTCAACTATTATACTATTTTTAATTTGGAAAATCTTTTAAAATTAGTCTTGTAGAATAGCGATTATTAAAAACAAAATATTTCCAGTGTGAAAACGAGTATAGAGACAGGTTCGTCTATATGATACCCTACACAACCTGGCAATATTTCGAGATATTTGCACCCTCTGACCCATTAGAGATCAACAGCTACTCCTTCTTAACCAGTCATATTTTCCGCCTCTTGTTTATCACGGGGTGAACATTTCCTATAACAAAATCAGTCATTTTACACAAAAAAGGTTTTGATGGTTTTATCCGATGAATATCGACTGTGAAAACGATTTCAAATTTTTTGATAATTACAAAGGATTTCCAAAAAAGTATTATATAGGGAGGGAAACTTTAAGATATGTGTATCGACGTTATAATAGTTTAATGATACCTCTCTAAAAGGGGGGGGGGGGACAATATTTTCCCTCTCTAAGATATTTGAAAACCTGTGAGCGGAGTAGTATAGTTGGACAGGACCGACCATATGATACCATACACAGCTACCACAGAGCTCTTAGTTTCTATATTCCGAGCCTGGGTAATTTTTGCACTCTCTTAACCGATATTTGCACTCTATTAACCGATTTAAGATTAAAATCTCCTCCGGGGGATATCGATTTTCCAATGAAAATTTTGTAATGTATTTAAATGTCTAGAGCGATGAGAAATCCAGCGAAAAATAAAGTTTTCGGTCAATTTCATGCCTGAAATATCATCTAATCATTGTCCTTGACCATAATTGAAACTCCGTACAAAATTTCAAACCGATCAGAGATATATTTCCGCCCTCTAGTGTGGTAATGGGTTACTAAATAATATACAAATAATCACCTGTAAATGTGTAGGTGTAACTCCCACATCTGAGTATATACGTCAATTGAATTGGTCATCCACTCCCCCCGGGATATCAAAAAGTCTGGGTCCACTTGACCCGCTAACTATTCAACGATTTTTATCAAAACAGGCATGTTTATTATTTGGCCCGATCCCCTTCTCCACGTAAAATTTTGTGATGTTTGGATCATAATTGAGGCCTCTAGTGTGGTCAGGAAAACAGACATCCCCTAAATATTAGCCGATCATCACCAAAAACAATATAGATCTTCTTTGACCAGAACCTATCCTACATGCGAAATTTCATTAAGATTGGTCCATAACTGTGGCCTCTATTGTGTTTACAAATTATAATAGCCAGTCGAACGGATAGACGGACAGAGACAGTTCTAGAGTTAGGATTTCTCGAAATCCTTGCATTTTATGTATATGGTATCATTGGCAATATTACTGGCATTACTTAGAGAAATATTTTTGTCTAATACGTTAACCCAGTCGACTCTCTGACCCATTCAGAAGCCCTTTTCTAAAAAGTATTAAAACCTCATTTAAAAAGGGAGCTATAGCAGGTCAGAATATTCTACAAAACTGTTCGCCATCAAGTTTCGCTATAACTCTCAGAATAGGCCAAAACTAAAAAATCGTGATCTTCGGGTCATAATTGTGGCATTTAGAGTGACCATAAAACCCGACAGAATTCGTGACAATAATGTGCTTTGAAATTTAAAAGGTGGATCTAGGACCAATTTCTCTGGGCCTTACAAACTCTTTGGGCCCCAGAAAGCTATAATACCCTTATAACTGTGTTGTGTAGGGCTTGTTAGCCAAGTCTATCTCAAATAAAAAAACCTGACTAAAACTGGCTTAGATGTTGCATAGTCAGACACCTATGATCGATTTTCTTGTTCCATAATGTGAAGAATCCCGAACTTGGTAACAAAACTGTAGGGCTTGCCTGCAAAGTCTACCTAAAAAAATTAAAAACCTGACTATAATCCCTTCGAGGACCCATTATGACTAGAGCCAAAGTCAAGGTATACAAACACTTTGCCAAGTTCTGTTTTTTTTTTTTTTTTTTTTTTGAATATTGAATGTAATGCAATTATGATTTCAATATGACGCCTATTAAATACTAATTTTCTTAACATATAAATAAAAAGTTGGATGAGTAAGCCGCTTTGAATCTGGGAGACGAAGTATATTTTCCTCTGTTTCTTAGATTAAATTAATTAAAACTTGTTTCCCAATTTCTGGAGGCCTTATACACAATCTTATGAGATCATATCACCCTCTAAAGGATTCGTAAGTCGGCAATACAAAAAATACTTCTTTTCGGCGAAGTCTACATTATCTACTCTGCCGCAAGATCCATAACAACACACGGGGAAAATCTGCCTTTGTTTCACTGATACCAAATTAGGGTTTGATTCTCTCTTAGAACCTGAATAGTCTTTAACAAAAAAGAGGTAAATTTTAGAGAAACATAGACTGAAACTTGTCCAGAAAACTCCGCAAAAAATACTGGAAAAAATTTTACTCAACTTCTGGCTAGCAATATATAACAAAATCTCAAACTTTTATCTCTAATTCTAAATTAGAGCTGGGATCCAAGGAACCAGTTTCCAGTTAATAATTGTTCGCTTTAGGTTTTTACGGATCAACTAAAACTACATCAGAATTATTCTACCCCGAAGCAGATTCTTCTCCTTGAGGAAGTCTTTTTTATATATTTCACGGCTATTTTAGAAAGCAAAATAATATTTTTCCACAGTGAAATAAGATTATTTTACATTCAAATAATATTTTTTTTTTAAATTAAATAAGCCAAAAATTTGTATCTCTTATGTTCCCCCTATAAAACTCATTGAATGTTCAATGTCAGTTATTTCTATATTTTCGTTTCATTGTAACTTTTTTGATTTGCTTTTCTTTGAGTTTGTTTCAAAGTGTTATTGAATAACTAAACCCTTAATTCGAAGATCATTGTTATTATCTTAAACATTTGTCTTTTTCTTTTCACATTATTTGATAACCAAAAACCAAACAAACAAAAAAAACCCCGAAATCAAAAACAAAATGTTTTGAACATTTCTTACCAAACCCAAAAAAACAACCAATCAACGGCTTTATCCCGCAACAAAAAACTTCAAACAAAAATCATAACAAAAAATCGAAAAATAAAAATTGGAACCACTATTTTGGAAAATTTCACAATTGGATGCATTTGTCGAAAACCCCCCAACATTTACCCACATCCCCCGCCCCCGTACATTCAATAAATTTTTGATTGGTTTAAAAAAAACATCATCAACTGCTGCCTTTAACGATTGATTTCATGATCCCTCAAAACCAAAAATACGATAAAAAAAATAATATTCTACCAATTCAATACCAAAAAACAACAATTCAATTAAAAACAACCACAATTTCCATAACAACAATAAAAAACAATTCAATTTTCCAAAAAAAAACTCAATTGATAAACAAAATAATAAAAATAATAGAATACGCCACTGTGGGCTATATGGCAAAACGAATTCAAATGCGAAAACAAAGATTTATGACGATCCAAAAGATGGCTGAGCAAAAAAAGCAGCAACAACTTGATGGGGTGCAACCGCCACCCAATCCAAATCCGAATACGGTGGTGGATCATGGCGGACATGGGCATGGTCATGGCCATCACAGCCATGGTCATCCTCATGTACCCAAACAAACAGTGAGTAACCGCCCAATTGGCTTTCAAAATATGCAACAACAAAATATTGGTGGTCGCGGTTGCTCGATAGTGGGACCCTTGTTCCAGGAGGTGAGATTCAAAGTGCACGATCCCAAGGCTCATTCGAAGGGTGGCACCCTTGAGAATACTGTCAACGGTGGACGTGGTGGCCCGCCCGTTGGACCACATGGCCCCGGGCCGCAGGGACCCCCCGGTGGACCGCCAGCTGGCGGCGGTGGAGGTGGAGGAGCACCGCCCGAAGGTGGTGACGCTGAGGCCGCGGTACCAGCTCACTTGCTACACCCGGGCAAGGTAAAAAAAGTAATTTTATGTCGCCAATTGTGTACCCCCGCCAAGAACATTTATATTAACTAATGTATTTTTTTCTTCTTCTTCTTGTTCTTCTCATTCTTGCGATATTTAATTATTTTTTTATGATTTATTATTTTTTTCGAAAATTTTGATTTTTTTTATAAAAAATAAACTAATCTCTAGGATATTAACAAGCTCTTGGGCATAACACCATCGGACATTGACAAATACTCACGTATTGTGTTTCCGGTGTGTTTCGTGTGCTTTAATCTCATGTACTGGATTATCTATCTGCATGTCAGCGATGTGGTGGCCGATGATTTGGTCTTGCTGGGCGAAGAAAAATAAAGTGGGACAAGAATAACGTCAGCAGCAACAACAACAAAACCCCAAGAGGTTTGTTTTCAGCGTCAACACTGCTATCTATCTATCAAGACTATTGCTATTGCATCATAAGAACAACAACAACAAACATCTATGCGGACTACTGGAAAAGCAAAATTCCAAGATAAATAGCAACAGCAATATTACAATGCTTCAATGCAATGAAAAATAAAATTATCCTTTAAGGATAATTCAACGGCTCATTACCAACATTACAAGAACTAGAACAACAACAACAACAAAAACACTATACCGAAGAGATACACGCATTAGTTGTAGTTAAATGAAATTTAATACATATTAAATATAATTTTAGTAAGCCCAAAAAACCAAAAAAAAACCAACAACCAAACCCCAAGAAAACAAAATAGTTATAATTTATTGTTAATGTAAAAAACTACCCAAATATTCCCCAAAATAAAAAAGAGGAAAAACCACGTTATATATGAAATATATAAACCAAAAAAAATAAAATAAAAACAAATGTTAATTACCATTAAATACAACAAACAACAAGAAGAGATGAACACTACACTAAAAACAAGCGGATACTAAATATGCGGATACTCACAGTTACCAACTAAAAAAAATTACAAAAGAAACACACACACAACTACAACACAAATCAAAAAAAAACCTACAAGAAAATTATATACTGAGATCAAGTAGAAGAAATTGTTTATGAAGGTTCCCCCCCTTTCCTCCCTGAAGTTCCCTTTAGCAATAAGAAACAGAAAAAAAACAACAACAAATTAAGACTTAACAAAAAAATCCAAACACAACTCTTGCATTAAGAAAGAGATAAACAAAATTAACATAAATAATGCAAAGAAATACATAAGTTAAGATTAATAACAGAGAATATTGCTCTCGTTCTCTCTCAGATATTTGATAGGTAACAAAAAAAGAAAGAAAAGAACAACAACAGCCCACAAATGATGCCCCAACACAAACAACAAAAAACGAAAGTAACTGATGTCAGTTGTTATGTTAGAATTTCATTTCAAGAAAAAAACTCACACAGCAAACTTTTTTATTACTTTGCTCACTCTATATTCTTCCCCACTCACTCTCTCCCTCCGTTTCATACTCAAACACTAATAACAGGCTTCCTATATTTAGATATTAATATAACAGCAAACAAACTAATGTTATTTATTCTCACCTATTTTTCTCTCAACAAAGAAAGAGTATTTTGGTATGCTCTGTCAGTCTCTCTCACGGTCTTTGTTTTGCACAATCAAACTTTACAATCTCTGTATGTGTGTGTTTTTTTTCTTCTCTTGTACCAACTGAAGAATAAGAAATTGTCATCAATTGTCTTCCTTAAGATAACACCCAAATATGCACTCGCATTCTCTCTATTTTTCTTCTTATTCTGTTATGAGAATATTCATGCCAGAATCCCGGATTAGCGGTAGCTGCAATTGATGTCTTGCAAAGGCATCATAAGTCGCGCCCCACCCAACAATATGTCAATTAAATTTAAATGAAATGCCAACTCGAAATAATAATAAAATCACAAAGAAATGTTGGAAAAAATTTCACAGCCTGTTTTTGTAAAATTCCAAACGAACGAATTTTTTTTTTGACTTTGACCAAACTTTTTGGTTTTGAAAAATATGTCATTTATTTTTGTTTTGAATCAGAAAACCTTTATAAACATAAATAAAGGTTTGGTCGTAAGATATCGAAACTTCCATTTTGAATTTTACAAAAACAGGCTGTCAATTTTTTTTAATAAAATATTGAAGGATACATTTTAATAATTTTTTCTGTAAAATAAATTATTTAAAACTCTTGTAAGCAAATTAGCCTAACCTTGGCAAAAGTAACATACCATGTAGCACCCTACAGAAGTATAACACTGTACACAAACAGTAATACACCCGCGCCCTCTATGATACTACAAAGAAATTGTAGAACATGTAGACCCGGATCATATTTCAGTTGATCTCTGATTGCATCCATCAATTTAATCGATATTAATGTAAAGATTCAGAGCTTCTCTTTCATATATTGGTAATTACACATTGATTCATTTAATCCCTTTTATATAAACAATCGCCAGCATGTGATCCATGATCAAACAATCCATGTTGCAAACAAATTATATCGATATATCGGTTATACATAACACTGATGCAGAAACCTATACAATAGCGTCGATTACAATATTATCATTTTCTCTTACCGTTAGTCGTTTTTGATGATGACTTCTCAGTTACGCTCTCTTTCGCACTTACTCTCAATTAAGTTCTCCACAGCACACAACAAGTTCTCGATGAACACTGCACGCTGTTGGCTGCATTTACGACACAGCTCGGCATGTTCATGCAATATATTGTATTCGTGCGAGATACACAAACACGAGCTCTCTTTTAAAATTTTCTCCACAACACTGACGTCAAATGAACACTGCATGCACACAATGGAATGTAAACACACCAATCGTGTCTCGGCTGCATTTACAACACAGCTCGGCATGTCCATGCCATATTTTGAAATCGTGTGTGTTACACAAACAACCAAGAGCATAAGAGAACCGCAATGTATTAACACAGATAAAGTTTGTGTATGCTTCAGAGCCACATCAGCAGACCCCCGCACGCATGCTCTCTTTCAGAGTTATTTGTATGAAAAAGAGCGTAAAAAGCAGCTCTTTGCCTTAGTCTGCTTCAGAGTACAAAAAAAAACAGGCAGAGAGTAAATATAAGTACAATACATGATCTCTTCGTTTAGCTGTTCGCATCGAATCGTATGTGTGCAAATCTATTTTTTGCAAATTGTCGAGTAACTACAGTTGTTTGGAGAATTTGTCCGAAAAAAAGAGAGGCCATATTTTCAATGAAATATTCATCAAATCCCTTGTGTTTCTCTTTATATGTGTTACTATTTCTTTTAGATTTTTTAGCAACAGGGTGTATTTTTGTAGAATATTTGGATTTTAAAACATATTAACGTATTTATGGTTCTAAACAAGAAATGTTAAAGCAAATATTCTGTCACAATATTTTTTTTAACTCTGAAAATTATCGGGAGGTTATACATATGAGATGATGTGATATATATTTTTTCTTTTGAGGAATCTGATGTTATCCTTTGATCTGAAGTTCTTCTCTCATCCAGTGGATTTATACGGAAAAGATTACAAAGAAAACAAATGGAAGTCAACAACGGAGCGTATACTTTATGTCAATAGTAATGCGCCCATTCGCGTTAATTCGTATCGCCTTAATGTACAATCGTTACCCGACAATACCTATTCACCTTTTTCTAGCAATATTTTTTTTTAAAGAAAAATTAAATTCTATTTAAGGTTTTTGAATGAAAAACATTTTCTTATCTATACCTAATTATATTCCGTCTTCATTCTAAACAAATGTGCTAAAAAATATACTTCATGTGAATATTAATACGCCTAGAAATTCATGATATAATAAAAAATGTCTTAAAATATGGAGCATATATTCAATATTTATCATTTTCTAAAGGAAAAATATTTCCTTCTTCGCCAACTAAAATTGAGGAAAAATTGATTTGAGCCTATAGAGCGTATGATTTATGCCAATACTAATATGTCCCGAATACACCCAATGATATCATATCTACTTGGAGCGTATACATTCTAAAATCTCCAATACGCCACAATGGTAACTCATTACAATTTCAATAAAAACTATTATTTTTCACTTTTTACAATCCCAACATTTCATTGTGATTTCATTGTTATTTCATAGTCCATGGATTTTGGTATGGATTTGGTTTATTTTTCAAATAATAACGCAACAGAACATAGTTTCCCTAACCAGCAAAATTACTTTTTTTAAAAACTCAAAACAAAAAAAGGAATAGCGCAAATAGTATAATTAAAACAAATTAAAAAATAAATATATAAATATTATTTTACAAAAAAAAAATAAATAAAAAAATGTTATGGAAAAAAATTGTTTTTGTTTTTCTTTTAAATTAAGCGCTTCCAAAATGAATTGCCAAATTTATATTTTAGGCATTTGAATGAGATTAAAATGAAAACAAATTATAAAAAAAAATAATATTTAATAAAAACACGACACATATAAAACAAAAAACCCCAAAATAAATCATAATTGTATTTTTATACTACAATCAATAAGCAAAACTAGAAAAAAGAAGAAGAAACCAATGACATCAACAATGGACTAAGGACTCAAAATTTGGGCATCAAGGGGTCTTACTTTAATAAAAATCCATTTATTTTTGCACTAAAAAAATTAAATAAAAACCAATTAACATTTAACATAATTAATTTTGCACCAGATTGATGAAATTGTTGTATTATTTGAAGTAATAAAAGAAAATTCCAATAAAACAAAACGAAAATTAACACTACACTGAGAGAAAATAAGAAGAAGAATAACAAAAACCTAACTATATATGGCTAATAAATAAATAAATACAAAACATTTTAAGCACTTATAAGTTATAATTTTTTATGAATGAGCAAACAATATATATAAATAAAAAAATATTACAATACAACAACAAAAAACGAAATTTAGGTATAAATAAAAAACAAAACCACTATTGAAGAAAAAAATACAAAAAAAAAAAATTACAACAACCAACCAAATATTAAATTAAGAGAAAGAAATACTGCCTAAACTAAAAACCAAAAAAAAAAGAAAAAAAATATTATTATGGGAAAATCCCATAACCTATTACCACAACAAGAGGAAAAAACCGAACTCAAACCACATCTTATAACAAACTAACAACAACAAATCGGGAAACTTTTTTAATGTATATATTCAAAAACAAAACCAAAAAAAAAAAAACAACTATAAAATGTACAGAAATTATATATAAATAAATAGGAAACAACGTTTAGATTTTTAAGAAAGAAAAAAAATGAAATAAAATAAAATCTATTGTAAATATTATATAGGAAAAAATCAAAACAACAAAAAAACAAACCAAAAATAGTTAAAAAGA